AAAAACCATAAATCACAAAGAATGAAAGAATTTAAGCAATATGCTTGCAGTAAACGACATTGAAGAACTCAAGGTAAGAAACTCCATGAATTTTTGTTCCGCTATCAACTTTTTAGAAACATCGGAGGAATCTAAATTAATTCAAAATAACGTTGCAAAATATATTAATATGAATATTATATTTTCATTTTTTTAAAATTATATATATATATATTTAATAAACAATCATTTTCCCACGCAGGCGACACATAGATTCATTTTAAAAACTGTCCGCCTCTGACTTACAGAGTTCGGGAGAAGAATCGCGAGATGATTAAGTATAGAAAATCATAAATAATTGTGCATAATGTGAACATAAAATGATTACAGCATCATATAGTCTGATAAAAGATACTCTCGATATCACAGATGATATAGATCAAGTAATTCAATAGTTTTTTTGTATTTAACATGTAAAGTATTTGTAATTTATAATGATAAAATTTTATTTCAAAAATGTAAGTAGTTTATATATATATATATATATATATATATATATATATTATAATAAAGATATAAAAAAAGCATTTTTTATTCCCGGCTGTTGCCAATCTACGGATGGCAAAAGAAGTATGCGTTTCACCGAGCTCGGATCGGTTCTTATAATTATTCTCGATAACAATAACATAGTTCGGTGTCATCTTTTGCACATCATTTTTTATTAATCAAGCATGGCTTATATTCTTTATAAATTTTTTTTATGAATAAAAAAATTAAATCAATTTTGATAAAAATGTATGAGTTTTAAAAGAGATCTTTTTTTAAGCTACTAAATAAATAGATAAATGAGTGAGATTAGGATATATTTTTTTGTGCAGAAATAAAAACAATGTTAAAATATATTAACAGAAGAGAATCAAATAAGCCATATAAATCACATAGAGCTTACTATGAGCATTAATTAAAACCGTTATTTATGGAAATAGATAAAATATGAATCACAGACAAGAATTAAAGAATGCATAAAGAAAGTATCCGTTCTTTGTTTCCTTTATCGGAAAAAGTAAATAGTCAAAAATTGCCACTATTCATAAAAGCAGATAAGTCCCGTAAAACTCACTGCGCATGCTCGAAAGAGAGGGAAAAGAAATGCCATTAAATTCATTTTTCCGTTTCTTTATTGGTCTTTCTAGTTAAACCTAAGATAGTCGTGCTTTGTTAGAACCATTCCATAGGACATCCCCGAAAGGTTTAGTTTGAGATTTGGCTTCGTACAGTGAACATCGTGCACTATTCGCGTTAAAGTGTATCGACAGATTCGTTAATAAAACAGAATTTTTTCAAAGTTTTAAAATTTTTTTAAATTTTAATAATAACAACAATGGCTATGCTAATACACATGCCTACAGAAATAGTTTTCAAAATTTTAGAATATAAAGATATCACCAATTAAAGACATCGTAAACTTTAGCTCCACATCCAAGCAGTTCCGCCAATTAATTATTAATGACAAAAATCTATGGAGAAAAAAGTTTATCCAGAGGTAAGTTTTTTATTTATTATTTCATTTGTTATTTGAGTAGTTTATCACACATATGAGAAAAAATTTGACAAAAATCTGGCCAGAAACTAAAAATTATATCAAACTAAATAAATCGTTTCCTGAACTGTTTGAAACAAATACTCGCATTTTAAATATTTTTAAAAATAAAAATGTAATTCAAGAATATTAAAATTAATTTCTAATCAATATTTTCAAAAATTCGCATATTCGCAATGCTATCGCATTGTTCTAAGAATCGATTCTTTTGCGTCTCTAATAAAATCCTGTAAATTTTAAAAATTTTTAGCTAAAAACTATCAATGATGTAAAGTCTGTCTTTGTTAAAAATATTTTCTAAACATTTTCGGAAAAACTCTTCCAAGGTTCTATAAAAAATATAGAATAATTTATTATATTATCAATAACTATTTCTTGCAAGGAATAGGAATAACTATGACAGAGATGATTTTTCGAACAAGAATAAATCTAAATATATACATTTTTGTGGAATATTTTTATACGAAATTAATATATTTTAGCTAAATTAAAAGCAATAATATAAAATACTTCATGTTATATTTCATCAGTTTTCATAGATGATCTGTACGTTAAATATATACAAAGAAATATATAATAAAATGAAAATATGTGTGTTACCGACAAATCATTCGGCCCATATGTACATTTTCTACAAAACTTTAATTTCTTAGTTGATGATTCATCGTAGACTATAATTTTTGTTCAGCCATTTGATATTTTAACTTTCTCATAGAAAAATATTAATTTCTTTATATTATTTTATGTTTTAACACGTAATACATAAGTTGTACCATGAACACGACAGTGCGCAGCTTATATCACACAAAATAAATAGTTTTTTAAATCTTATCGTTTATGCCACACGAATTACTAATAATCGATACGAGAAGTTTAAAATATTTGAGCGTACGCATAAATTTGTGGCAGATATCTGTGCGAATGTATAAGAAATTCAAACTTTATATGTTATAATATAATATATAAACTGTTCGTCACATGCTGCATTGTAAAAATAAACTGCGCATTTTGTAATTATTTAGTATAGTGTATATATTTGGTCACAAGAATGTTATCGATCATAAAATATCACGTTGTCAAATAATGAAACATTGTATAAAACATGCTGAATTATGTATGTACAGTAGGCGCCAATGATGCCTTAACATATGAAATGGTCGCATTTGAGACTAATAATAACTTAATAATATCTAGTCATTATTAATCCCGAAATGCGACCAATTTCATATGTTAAACATTATTAGCGCCTACTGTATTTGAAAAACGTGTCTCTCAAGACGTTTTACATTAGATTTCATTTATCTTAAAGTCAATAGTCTGGCGTATCTTGCATCCATAGATATTTAGACATTATAAATCAAAATCCAGTTGGCATTCCAAATGAAGTTTACATATATTGTAATCTATAAAGATAATATTATTATTATATTATTATTGATATAATTTGCTTAAAGATTATTCGCTCATATTTCCTATTTTTATTAATAATATTAAATGTATTCTTCAATTTGATTTAGATATTATTCGGCATTGTACAATTTTTGATATGATTTAAGAAAATCAGTTAAAATATTTCTGTTTAAATTTTAGATGGCCTTCTGTGAAAAAATATTATGAGGAAGATGATAAAGATTTTTATGAAGCCGATATTACAAATGTGCAAAGCGGTATGAAATGCGCAAAAGAATTGTGGGCCTATGTATCTCACATGTCCGAAAAGCATTATTACTATGTTAATAATCATAAATATGTAGATGAATTCTCTTCCTTATTCAGCCTACATAAAGATTGCTCAAATGCGCATTCTATGCATTGTGCTATTTTGAAAGATGAATTTATTAGAAGCATTTATACACAATCTCCATGGTATGTGACTCAAGATATATATTAAAATATAATTAATATATATATATATATGTATGTATATATAAAATAAATTAATATATTAATTATGTACAATAAATTGTGAATATTTCAGGGAATGCGATTTAACACATAGATATTACAGTATGAAACTTTTTCGATGCTGGCTTAAAAAAAATTTTGAAAGAAATTGGAAAAAATTTATAAATAAGCCTCATCAACAACAAATTTTAGAAAAAGTGCTTGCTATAACATTACAATGGTGTCATCCAGAAAAATATATTTCTTCGTCCCATGTAGACAAACTGATTGAAGATATTATGCAAAATGTGTTAAAGCTTCTTAAAGAGAAAAGTCCCACTCATGAAATATTTTCGATATCATCTAAACAATTTTCCTTTTGGAAACATAATAATATTCATGAAAATTATTGGGGTGAAACTAGTGCAAGACAAATTAAATGCAGATTGGACGATATTATTTTAAATTTCGATTGCTATAACATAGATTATCCGTGGAAATTGGATCAAGTACGTATATGCGGACCCATACGCAGCATATTTTCTTATGTGATATTTTTTCTTATTACAAATTACCGGAAATACTATAATTATTTTTCATTAAATAAAATATATAAGTTTATTTTAAGTTATTTTAAGTTATTGTTTTGTTACAGATTAGAGAAAATCATTTTCAGGAATTACATAATAAAAACTGTTATGGTGTATAATATATATCTGCGTGGCGAGAAGAATGGGTATACATATTGAATTAACAATGATGTACCGTAGCAATATATTTTCTTCAGAAACTTGTTTGGCTTGGAAACCAAGGTAATATATGTACCTGATCTCGATTTTGAGATCACTTAATTTTCCTTTCATATACGCTAATATTTTACATTCACACATGTACATAATGTAAAGAAAAGATGTATAATCTAATAGACTAAAGCATTAGAATAAATAATAATTTTTTTCGGTACTTTTACTTTTAAAAAATTGCTCTAAATAGACTAAAATAATTCACATTAAAAGATAAGTACTGATATCTATATATATCTATATATACATCTGCTATACTGTATATACATCTACTTATATATATTTTTCTTTATTCTATACAGAGGTCGTAGAGAATATACAGAATATTTTAATATTGAGCGGATGTACGATCAAGCAGATTTCTTTAATCAGCAGATTTCTTTATAATTATATATCAATCACATCAAGACGTGCCGGATCGGATGAAGATATCTATAAAACAAGTGAGTTATTAATTATTTGTATTACGATTTTTATTTGAATAGGTTTTAAACAAAAATCTTTGCTTTCTATTCATAAATATAATTGTTATAAATATAAATGTTTTCTAAGATAAAATTGTATATTTGATGGAAAATACTCAGCGATTCTCCCTCTATAGTACATTTCAAGGAAATTGAAATCAATTAGTAGCTTTTAATACATATGTATTTAGCTTTAGAAAAATTGTGAATGTTCACATAATGTGCAACAATTGCTATCGATTATAGAATTTGACAAAGAATCTTAAATTTTATATATATGTAATTGGAATTTTGTTATTACAAATAATTTATAATTTATTTAAAATTTAATAATAATAAAATTAATAATAACTAATTTTTTTTTTAGATAATCTATGAACTAGGAAAAGTTTTTAAAAATTATATGCCGACAGATATTTCTTTTACTCTTCTCTCAGAAATAGATATAAATAATGATATGGTAGGTACTTTTTTATGTTATTATAAATCACTTTGAAGATAGTTTATTATATGTATACATAAAGTACATTAATATATAATCATATTTTATAATTATAAATTATTATCTATAATCAAAATCAAAACTACAAAACTCGATTTAAAATTTAATTAAAAAAAGAAACGTCAATTATATTCTAATTTTTCAGTGTACATCTCTTCTTATTGAAAAGTGTTGCGAAAGAAGATCGGATAAAGTAAAATTCGCAATTGGAATGGTTGTTAGTTTTGGAGATAATTATGAAAGTAAAGCTGGTTACGTCGGTGTCATAATTGGATGGCATAACAAATATCAAACTGAATGGTTTTCTTTTCCTCCGTATCAATTAGAGTTCGAATGTGACATTGGGAACCACGTAGAACCGTATTATATCATTTTGATAGATAATGACATCATGTGTTACGTACCACAAAGTATGAATATCAAATGTTTCTTTCTGTTTATATATCATACAATATATATATATATATATATATATATATATATATATATTTATTATGTATTATTTGTATAACGTATAAAAATTTATGTTTGTTTTAGGATTTATAACATCGATATGCAAGTCACGGTGGATATATAATACAGAAATAGGGCGATATTTCTGTAAAATGACGGATACACATTATATCCCTAATCAAATGCTAGCAAAACATTACCCAAAAGATGCTGCGGTGATTTATGAAATATTTAATAATAATAATAATTTATAATTTACTAATACTATTTTTAATATTTTATTAATACTATTTTTAGGTAGTTTTAGATAGTAGATATATGCGAACATATAATCAAAATATTTTCTTATGTCATATTTTTTTTTGTTATAAAATAGTAATAGTAGTAGTCAGTCTCTACTGTAGTTTTTTTATTATGAACTATTATAAATATTATAATTATTTTCCATTACTGAAATTTTTCCATACTGAAATTATAATTATGTATATTATGTATATTATGTATCTATGTATATTATCTAAATATATGTAATCTTTGTATATTATCTAAATTTATTGTTTTATTACAAATTAGAGTTAAAATTAAAATTACTTTCATTAGTTACATTAGGGAAAATAGGATATAAAGGATGTTTTAATATTGAATGTATGATGAATTTAATCTGTATATTTGTCATAAATAAATGTCAATCAATGGCCAATCCATTGAAAATGCGTACAACAAAAGTGAATAGTTATTTACATAATCACATTCATTATCATACATTTTAAATTTTACTTTAAATTTTATTTTGAAATTATTTTTTATATTTTGGAAATGGTGCAGGATAAGATTTTTAAAAAGAAAGAAAAGATAAAATTGTATATTTGATGAAAAACACATTAGCTACATTTAGCTATGATTCCTATATAATATATTTCAAGAACATTGAAGTCGATTAATTTGCTTTTAATATTTAGCTTTAGAAAACTTGCGAATGTTCAGATAATGTGTAACAATTTCTACCAATTATAAAATTTATTAAAAATACATTTGTAATGTGTATTTTGTCATTACGGATAATTCTGTGATTGTTTTAGAATTCAATAATTAATTCCTTCGGATGATTTTATAATTTAGAATTTAATAACTAATAATTGATTTAGAATTCTTTCCATCTTATAAATATGTATATAAACTATAATATAAAGTATTTTTTATGCGTCATTATAAAAATTATTTTAAAAATAGTTATAATATATAGATAATAAATATATAATAATATTAATTATAATTATCTGTAATTAAATTATTACAAAAATCGATTTAAAATTTAGTTGAGAAGAAAGACATCAATTATTTTCGAACATGTATTCCTCTAACTGGAAAATATTAAAACAAGATCAAGTTAATACAAAAATTTACAATTGGAATGATTGCTAATCATAAACATGGCTGAAATGAAAATAATGTTGATGTCATGTTGATGGATAATAGAGTGATCTTTTTCGAACTGAACTTTCGGTTTTCTTTTCCTCCTTGTATTTTGGATTTCAAACGTAATATGCGGAACTATTTACAACTATTTTACATTAATGAAAAGATTAATAGAAAATGACAGCATGCGTTATGTGTCACAAAATATAAGAATTGAGAATACGAGAATATTATGTATTAAATAAAATGCTAACGAGACATTATCAAAGAGATGCCGCAATTATTTTCGAGTTAATAACAACCATTTATAACATTTTAAAATGATTATTGTTTGATAATTTATACTATATTGAAATATTGATATCAAAAAGTAACATGCTCACAACAACCGGTTTTTCCAAGCAGACTTCCTGTGTGAATGCTGTTTATAATTATGTTATAGTTCGACATATAAATTTTTGATAGTTAAACTACAACTCTCGTTACATATATATATATATATATATATATATATATATATATATATATATATATAAGATAGAGTACAGAAAATTGCAGCAATATTGCGGCAACATTGCAATGCTATAGCAATGTGTTACAACAATATTAATAATATTGCTTCAATATTCTATGCTCTATGGGTAGATTCACTTCTAGTATTCTTTTCAAATACACGATTTTCGACAATTGCTTTCCTTTAACACCATCCCATATCTTCTAAAACAAATTACAATTCGGTCATAAAATAATGCATGTGCGCGCGAAACAGTTTTATTATTAATTTTAAATAAACAAAAGAGATTACCATTGTAGGGACAATTGTCTCCTACTCCGCTTGTGTTACACATTTCCACACATGTTAAATACAACTTTCTAATCCCTGCATGCATGCATCCGACATCCACTTTCTCCTCCGTTTACAACCCTTGCATGCTACGCGGCCATCCTTCGATCCCTTTCATCGCCAATTAACACATGGCAGACACACGGTTTTTCCTACACAACGATCACTCATCCCTCCGAGAATCTTTCCGATCATAAAAACTTTCTCCCAAGATCATGCATGCTGAATCTGGATTTTCCAAGGGGCATTCTGTATCCGGAACTTGTAGAGTAAACGAGAGTCTGCAGCATCTATTCCGCGCCTAAGAATACACGCTTCGATCTCCACACCACACACACACGAGTCACTCGTTATCGAACGTTGTAATTGTTGTTTAAATAAATTTGAGTTAGTAAGAAGCGTCGGCTAATTTAATTGCCAGATTACCTACACCATATTGCATTTTATTTACAGGATTTTACTATATTACATTTCGCGGAATCATTGAAGACACAACAGTACATGCGCGACTGAACTCGTAAATCATGATAAATGTTTGAATTTATTTCTCTAAAAAATATGATAAAAAGGATGAGAGAGAGAGAGAGAGAGAGAGAAAAAGAGAGAGAGAGAGAAAGAGAAAACTGCAAAACGAAAAGCAGGGAAAGTGAAAAAGAAAGAGAACATGTTTAAGAAATGAAACAGTGGCCGTTAGACAAGAATCACTTTTCGTTAAAAAAGAAACAAAAAAAGCATAAATCACAAGAGAATAAAAGAATTTAAGCAGTATGCTTGCAGTAAACGACATTGGGGAAACTCAGGTAAGAACTCCATGAATTTTTGTTCCGCTTTCACTTTTAAAAACATCCAAGTAATCTAAATTAATTCAAAATAAACGTTGCTAAATATGAATATTATATTTTCATTTTTTTAATTATACAGAGTGTCCCAAAACCCATAATCAATCTTTCAAAGACAGATTCCTGGGATCATTTCGAGACGATTTTTCCTCAGCGAAAATGACGATGAAGGCCATCATTTTTTGCATGTTCCCGATTTTTGTCATCATATAAATGCAATTAAGCCTTAAATTAAAACTCAACTAAAGTAAACTCTATTTAAAATTAATCGAAGAATATGGTTTTATAGTTAATATTTTATTTTAGTTAATATTTAATATTTTATAGTTAATATTTTATTTTAGTTAATATTTTATTTCTGCAAAACCTAGTTTACGAAATACCCCTTATTTTCAATCACATACAATTCGTAAATTATTAGTGCCTCAACATTTTCGTTGAGGAAAAATCGTCTTTAGATGATCCCAGGAATCTGTCTTTGAAAGATTGATTATGAGTTTTGAGATACCCTGTATATATATTTAATAACATTCATTTTGCACATTGCGATTCATAGATCACTTTAAAAACTGTCGCCTCTGATTTACAGAGTTCGGGAGGAGATCGCGAGATGATTAAGTATAGAACATAAATAATTGTGCATAATTGAACATAAATGATTCAGCATCATATATCTGATAAAAGATACTCCCGATATCACAGATGATATATGATAAAGTAATTCAATAGTTTTTTTGTATTTAACATGTAAAGCATTTGTAATTTATAATGATAACATTTTATTACAAAAATGTAAGTAGTTTATTGTTTGATAATTTATACTAAAAATATTGAAATATTGATATCAAGAATCAACATGCTCACAACAGCCGGTTTTTTTAAGCAGACTTCCTGTGTGAATGCTGATTATAATTATGTTATAGTTCGGCATATAAATTTTTGGTAGTTAAACTACAACTCTCTTTATATATACAGGGTGAGGCATCTAAAACAGGCCACCTGAATAACTCCGTTGGTAAGCCGAATACAAAAAAATTGTTCAGACAAAAGTTGTATGATTTCAAGGGGGACATATGATGGTGTCATTAGTTTAATCTTGAAGAGCCACCCGAAGGTCACGTGAAGGTCAGCTCCAACTTTTTAAATGGGACACCTTATATGCTTTTACATATTCTTGTAGCTCATCTCAAGAGCTTTCCAAAACACTACAATTATGTTAGTTTTCATTAAATACTTTCCAAGTTATGAGGCTTGAAATCATTTTTTAATTTTACATAAACCGTAAAATATCTTGTAAAATATTCATTTTTCGATTATTTTACCTTAATACTTTTATGTACAAAATAATGAGAAGAATCAATTGGTGTAAAGAAAACACATAATTGCTTCGAACAAAAAAATGTAATTTGCAATTAACAATTACATTTTTTTGTTCGAAGCAATTATGTGTTTTCTTTACACCAATTGATTCTTCTCATTATTTTGTACATAAAAGTATTAAGGTAAAATAATCGAAAAATGAATATTTTACAAGATATTTTACGGTTTATGTAAAATTAAAAAATGATTTCAAGCCTCATAACTTGGAAAGTATTTAATGAAAACTAACATAATTGTAGTGTTTTGGAAAGCTCTTGAGATGAGCTACAAGAATATGCAAAAGCATATAAGGTGTCCCATTTAAAAAGTTGGAGCTGACCTTCACGTGACCTTCGGGTGGCTCTTCAAGATTAAACTAATGACACCATCATATGTCCCCCTTGAAACCATACAACTTTTGTCTGAACAATTTTTTTATATTCGGCTTACCAACGGAGTTATTCAGGTGGCCTGTTTTAGATGCCTCACCCTGTATATATATATGTATATATATATATATATATATATATATATATATATATATATATATAAGAGAGTACAGAAAATTGCAGCAATATTGCGGCAACATTGCAATGTTATAGCAATGTGTTACAACAATATTAATAATATTGCTTCAATATTCTATGCCCTATGGGTAGATTCACTTCTAGTATTCTTTTCAAATACACGATTTTCGACAATTGCTTTTCTTTAACACCATCCCATATCTTCTAAAACAAATTACAAGTCGGTCATAAAATAATGCATGTGCGCGCGAAACAGTTTTATTATTAATTTTAAATAAACAAAAGAGATTACCATTGTAGGGACAATTGTCTCCTACTCCGCTTGTGTTACACATTTCCACACATGTTAAATACAACTTTCTAATCCCTGCATGCATGCATCCGACATCCACTTTCTCCTCCGTTTACAACCCTTGCATGCTACGCGGCCATCCTTCGATCCGTTTCATCGCCAATTAACACGTGGCAGACACACGGTTTTTCCTACACAACGATCACTCATCCCTCCGAAAATCTTTCCGATCATAAAAACTTTCTCCCAAGATCATGCATGCTGAATCTGGATTTTCCAAGGAGCATTCTGTATCCGGAACTTGTAGAGTAAACGTAGAGTCTGCAGCATCTATTCCGCGCCTAAGAATACACGCTTCGATCTCCACACCACACACACACGAGTCACTCGTTATCGAACGTTGTAATTGTTGTTTAAATAAATTTGAGTTAGTAAGAAGCGTCGGCTAATTTAATTGCCAGATTACCTACACCATATTGCATTTTATTTACAGGATTTTACTATATTACATTTCGCGGAATCATTGAAGACACAACAGTACATGCGACTGAACTCGTAAATCATGATAAATGTTTGAATTTATTTCTCTAAAAAATATGATAAAAAGGATGAGAGAGAGAGAGAGAGAGAGAGAGAGAGAGAGAAAGAGAGAGAGAGAGAAAGAGGAAACTGCAAAACGAAAAGCAGGGAAAGTGAAAAAGAAAGAGAACATGTTTAAGAAATGAAACAGTGGCCGTTAGACAAGAATCACTTTTCGTTAAAAAAGAAACAAAAAAAGCATAAATCACAAGAGAATAAAAGAATTTAAGCAGTATGCTTGCAGTAAACGACATTGGGGAAACTCAGGTAAGAACTCCATGAATTTTTGTTCCGCTTTCACTTTTAAAAACATCCAAGTAATCTAAATTAATTCAAAATAAACGTTGCTAAATATGAATATTATATTTTCATTTTTTTAATTATACAGAGTGTCCCAAAACCCATAATCAATCTTTCAAAGACAGATTCCTGGGATCATTTGGAGACGATTTTTCCTCAGCGAAAATGACGATGAAGGCCATCATTTTTTACATGTTCCCGATTTTTGTCATCATATAAATGCAATTAAGCCTTAAATTAAAACTCAACTAAAGTGAACTCTATTTAAAATTAATCGAAGAATATGGTTTTATAGTTAATATTTTATTTTAGTTAATATTTAATATTTTATAGTTAATATTTTATTTTAGTTAATATTTTATTTCTGCAAAACTTAGTTTACGAAATACCCCTTATTTTCAATCACATACAATTCGTAAATTATTAGTGCCTCAACATTTTCGTTGAGGAAAAATCGTCTTTAGATGATCCCAGGAATCTGTCTTTGAAAGATTGATTATGAGTTTTGAGATACCCTGTATATATATTTAATAACATTCATTTTGCACATTGCGATTCATAGATCACTTTAAAAACTGTCGCCTCTGACTTACAGAGTTCGGGAGGAGATCGCGAGATGATTAAGTATAGAACATAAATAATTGTGCATAATTGAACATAAATGATTCAGCATCATATATCTGATAAAAGATACTCCCGATATCACAGATGATATATGATAAAGTAATTCAATAGTTTTTTTGTATTTAACATGTAAAGCATTTGTAATTTATAATGATAACATTTTATTACAAAAATGTAAGTAGTTTATTGTTTGATAATTTATACTAAAAATATTGAAATATTGATATCAAGAATCAACATGCTCACACCAGCCGGTTTTTCCAAGCAGACTTCCTGTGTGAATGCTGATTATAATTATGTTATAGTTTGGCATATAAATTTTTGGTAGTTAAACTACAACTCTCTTTATATATATATATATATATGTATATATATATATATATATATATATATATATATAAGAGAGTACAGAAAATTGCAGCAATATTGCGGCAACATTGCAATGTTATAGCAATGTGTTACAACAATATTAATAATATTGCTTCAATATTCTATGCCCTATGGGTAGATTCACTTCTAGTATTCTTTTCAAATACACGATTTTCGGTTAAATTACTTTTCTTTAACATCATCCCATATATTCTAAAACGAATTACAAGTCGGTCGTAAAATAATTTATGTGCGCGCGAAATAGTTTTATTATTAATATTAAATAAACAAAAGATATTACTATATTACATTTCATTCACAAGATTTTACTATATTACATTTCGTGGAATCATTGAAGACACAACAGCGCACGCGCGACGGAACTCGTAAATGTTATGTAATGATAAATGTTTGAATTTATTTCTCTGAAAAATATGACAAGAAGGTTAGAGAGAGAAGGAGAGAGAATGAGAGCGTGGGGGGGGGGAGGAAGAACAGCCAAACGAAAAACGGAAAAAGTGAGAAAGAAAGAGAATATGTTTCAGAAACGAAACAGATGGTGTTAAACAAGATGAATTACTTTTTTTCCATTGAAAAAGAAATTAAAAAAGCACACAAATAAATCACAAAAGAAAAAATAAACAAAGAAAAAATAAATAAAGGAAAAATAAAATAAAAGTTAAAAAGCATAAATCACAAAAGAATGAAAGAATTTAAGCAGTATGCTTGCAGTAAATGACATTGGGGAAACTCAGGTAAGAACTCCATGAATTTTTGTTTCCGCTTTCACTTTTAAAAACATCGAAGGAATCTAAATTAATTCAAAATAAACGTTGCAAAATATGAATATTATATTTTTATTTTTTTAAATTATACAGGGTCTCCCAAAACACATAATCAAACTTTCATAGACAGATTCCTGGTATCATTTGGAGACGATTTTTCTTCAGCGAAAATGTCAATGAAGGCCATCATTTTTTGCATGTTCGATTTTTGTCATCATATACCTTTGCAATTAAGCTTTAAATTAAAGCTCAACTAAAGTAAACTCTATTTAAAATTAATCGGAGAATATGGTTTTGTTAATATTTTATTTCTGCAAAGCTTAGTTTACGAAAAACCCCTTATTTTCAATCACTTATAATTCGAAAATTTTTAGTGTCTCAACATTTTCGTTGAGGAAAAATCGTCTTCAGATGATCCCAGGAATCTGTCTTTGAAAGATTGATTATGAGTTTTGAAATACCCTGTATATATATTTAATAACATTCATTTTGCACATTGCGACTCATAGATCACTTTAAAAACTGTCGCCTCTGACTTACAGAGTTTGGGAGGAGATCGCGAGATGATTAAGTATAGAACATAAATAATTGTGCATAATTGAACATAAATGGTTCAGCATCATATATCTGATAAAAGATATTCCCGATATCACAGATAATATATGATAAAGTAATTCAATAGTTTTTTTGTAATTAACATGTAAAGCATTTGTAATTTATAACGATAAAATTTTATTTCAAAAATGTAAGTAGTTTATATATATATATATATATATATATATATATACATATATATATAATTAAAGATATAAAAAAGCATTTTTACTCCCGGCTCTTGCCAATCTACGGATGGCAAGAGGAGTATGCATTTCACCGAGCTCGGATCGGTTCTTATAATTATTTTCGATACAATAACATAGTTCGGTGTCATCTTTTGCACATCATTTTTTATTAACCAAGCATGGCTTATATTCTTTATAAATTTTTTTTATAAATAAAAAAATTAAATCAATTTTGATAAAAATGTATGAGTTTTAAAAGAGATCTTTTTTAAGCTACTTAATAAATAGATAAATGAGTGAGATTAGGATATATATTTTTTGTGCAGAAATATAAACAATATTAAAATATTTTAACAGAAGAGAATCAAATAGGCTATATAAATCACATAGAGCTTATTATGAGCATTAATACCGTTATTTATGGAAATAGATAAAATATGAATCACAGTCAAGAATTAAAGAATGCATAAAGAAAGTGTCCGTTCTTTGTTTCCTTTATCGGAAAAAGTAAATAGTCAAAAATTGCCACTATTCATAAAAGCAGATAAGTCCGGTAAAACTCACTGCGCATGCTCGAAAGAGAGGGAAAAGAAATGTCATTAAATTCATTTTTCCCTTTCTTTTCTGGTCTTTCTAGTTAAACCTAAGATAGTCGTGCTTTGCTAGAACCATTCCATAGGACATCCCCGAAAGGTTTAGTTTGAGATTTGGCTTCGTACAGTGAACATCGTGCACTATTCGCGAAGTTAAAGTGTATCGACAGATTCGTTAATAAAACAGAATTTTTTCAAAGTTTTAAAATTTTTTTAAATTTTAATAATAACAACAATGGCTATGCTAATACACATGCCTACAGAAATAGTTTTCAAAATTTTAGAATATAAAGATATCACCATTAAAGACATCGTAAACTTTAGCTCCACATCCAAGCAGTTCCGCCAATTAATTATTAATGACAAAAATCTATGGAGAAAAAAGTTTATCCAGAGGTAAGTTTTTTATTTATTATTTCATTTGTTATTTGAGTAGTTTATCACACATATGAGAAAAAATTTGACAAAAATCTGGCCAGAAACTAAAAATTATATCAAACCAAATAAATCGTTTCCTGAACTGTTTGAAACAAATACTTCGCATTTTAAATATTTCCAAAAATAAAAATGTAATTCAAGAAATTTTAAAATTAATTTCTAATCAATATTTTCAAAAATTCGCAAATTTTTGAAGCTATCGCATTATTTTAAGCATTGATTCTTTTGCGTATCTCTCTAATAAAATCCTGTAAATTTTAAAAATTTTTAGCTAAAAACTATCAATGATGTAAAGTCTGTCATTGTTTAAAAATTTTCTAAACATTTTCGAAAAAACTCTTCCAACGTTCTATAAAAAATATAGAATAATTTATTATATTATCAATAACTATTTCTTGCAAGATATAGGAATAACTATGACAGAGATGATTTTTCGAACAAGAATAAATCTAAAATATATAAATTTTTGTGGAATATTTTTATACGAAATTAATATATTTTAGCTAAATTAAAAGCAATAATATAAAATACTTCATGTTATATTTCATCAGTTTTCATAGATGATTTGTACGTTAAATATATAGAAAGAAATATATAATAAAATGAAAATATGGGTGTTACCGACAAATCATTCGACCCGTATGTAAATTTCCTAAAAAACTTTAATTTTATAGTTGATGATTTATCTTAGACCATAATTTTTGTTCAGGCCATTTGATATTTTAACTTTCTCATAGAAAAATATTAATTTTTTAAATATTATTTTATATGTTTTAACACAATACATAAGTTGTACCATAAACACGACAGTGCGCAGCTTATATCACACAAAATAAATAGTCTTTTAAATCTTATCGTTTATGCCACACGAATTACTAATAATCGATGCGAAAAGTTTAAAATATTTGAACGTACGCATAAATTTGTGGCAGATATCTGTGCGAATGTATAAGAAATTCAAACTTTATATGTTATAATATAATATATAAACTGCTCTTCACATGCTGCATTGTAAAAATAAACTGCGCATTTTGTAATTATTTAGTATAGTGTATATATTTTGTCACTAAAATGTTATCGATCATAAAATATCACGTTGTCAAATAATAAAACATTGTATAACACATGCTGAATTATGTATGTAGAGTAGGCGCCAAAGATGCCTTAACATATGAAATGGTCGCATTTGAGACTAATAATAACTTAATAATATCTAGTCATTATTAATCCCGAATGCGACCAATTTCATATGTTAAGGCATTATTGGCGCCTACTGTATTTGGAAAACGTGTCTCTCAAGACGTTTTACATTAGATTTCATTTATCTTAAAGTCAATAGTCTGGCGTATCTTGCATCCATAGATATTTAGACATTATAAATCAAAATCCAGTTGGCATTCCAAATGAAGTTTACATATATTGTAATCTATAAAGATAATATTATTATTATATTATTATTGCTATAATTTGCTTAAAGATTATTCGCTCATATTTCCTATTTTTATTAATAATATTAAATGTATTCTTCAATTTGATTTAGATATTATGCGGCATTGTACAATTTTTGATATAATTTAAGAAAATCAGTTAAAATATTTCTGTTTAAATTTTAGATGGCCTTCTGTGAAAAAATATTATGAGGAAGATGATAAAGATTTTTATGAAGCCGATATTACAGATGTGCAAAGCGGTATGAAATGCGCAAAAGAATTGTGGGCCTATGTATCTCATATGTCCGAAAAGCATTATTACTATGTTAATAATTATAAATATGTAGATGAATTCTCTTCCTTATTCAGCCTACATAAAGATTGCTCAAATGCGCATTCTATGCATTGTGCTATTTTGAAGGATGAATTTATTAGAAGCATTTATACACAATCTCCATGGTATGTGACTCAAGATATATATTAAAATATAATTAATATATATATATATATATGTATATATAAAATAAATTAATATATTAATTATATACAATAAATTGTGAATATTTCAGGGAATGCGATTTAACACATAGATATTACAGTATGAAACTTTTTCGATGCTGGCTTAAAAAAAATTTTGAAAGAAATTGGAAAAAATTTATAAATAAGCCTCATCAACAACAAATTTTAGAAAAAGTGCTTGCTATAACATTACAATGGTGTCATCCAGAAAAATATATTTCTTCGTCCCATGTAGACAAACTGATTGAAGATATTATGCAAAATGTGTTAAAGCTTCTTAAAGAGAAAAGTCCCACTCATGAAATATTTTCGATATCATCTAAACAATTTTCCTTTTGGAAACATAATAATATTCATGAAAATTATTGGGGTGAAACTAGTGCAAGACAAATTAAATGCAGATTGGACGATATTATTTTAAATTTCGATTGCTATAACATAGATTATCCGTGGAAATTGGATCAAGTACGTATATGCGACCCATACGCAGCATATTTTCTTATGTGATATTTTTTCTTATTACAAATTACCGGAAATACTATAATTATTTTTCATTAAATAAAATATATAAGTTTATTTTAAGTTATTTTAAGTTATTGTTTTGTTACAGATTAGAGAAAATCATTTTCAGGAATTACATAATAAAAAACTGTTATGGTGTATAATATATATCTGCGTGGCGAGAAGAATGGGTATACATATTGAATTAACAATGATGTACCATAGCAATATATTTTCTTCAGAAACTGGTTTGGCTTGGAAACCAAGGTAATATATGTACCTGATCTCGATTTTGAGATCACTTAATTTTCCTTTCATATACGCATATTATTATGTTTACATTCACACATGTACATAATGTAAGAAAAAGATGTATAATCTAATAGACTAAAGCATTAAAATAAATAATAATATTCTTCGGTACTTTTACTTTAAAAAAATTGCTCTAAATAGACTAAAATAATTCACATTAAAAGATATAGTACTGATATCTATATATATCTGTATATACATCTACTTATATATATGTTTTTCTTTATTTTCGATACAGAGGTCGTAGAGAATATACAGAATATTTTAATATTGAGCGGATGTACGATCAAGCAGATTTCTTTAATCAGCAGATTTCTTTTATAATTATATATCAATCACGTCAAGACGTGCCGGATCGGATGAAGACATCTATACCTATAAAACAAGTGAGTTATTAATTATTTGTATTACGATTTTTTATTTGAATAGGGTTTTAAACAAAAATCTTTGCTTTCTATTCATAAATATAATTGTTTTCTGATATAAAATTGTATATTTGATGGAAAATACTCAGCGATTCTCCCTCTATAGTACATTTCAAGGAAATTGAAATCAATTAGTAGCTTTTAATACATATGTATTTAGCTTTAGAAAAATTTTGAATGTTCACATAATGTGCAACATTTGCTATCGATTATAGAATTTGACAAAGAATCTTAAATTTTATATATTTGTAATTGGTATTTTGTCATTAGGAATGATTTTATAATTTATATAAAATTTAATAACTAATTTTTTTTTAGATAATCTATGAACTAGGAAAAGTTTTTAAAAATTATATGCCGATAGATATTTCTTTTACTCTTCTCTCAGAAATGGATATAAATAATGATATGGTAGGTACTTTTTTTATGTTATTATAAATCACTTTGAAGATAGTTTATTATATGTATACATAAAGTACATTAATATATAATCATATTTGTTATAATTATAAATTATTAATTATCTATAATCAAAATCAGAACTACAAAATGCGATTTAAAATTTAATTAAAAAAAGAAACGTCAATTATATTCTAATTTTTCAGTGTACATCTCTTCTTATTGAAGAGTGTTGCGAAAGAAGATCGGATAAAGTAAAATTCGCAATTGGATTGGTTGTTAGTTTTGGAGATAATTTTGAAAGTAAAGCTGGTGTCATAATTGGATGGCATAACAAATATCAAACTGAATGGTTTTCTTTTCCTCCGTATCAATTAGAGTTCGAATGTGACATTGTAGAACCGTATTATATCATTTTGATAGATAATGACATCATGTGTTACGTACCACAAAGTATGAATTTCAAACGTTTCTTTCTGTTTATATATCATACTATATATATATATATGTATATATATATATATATATTTATTATGTATTATTTGTATAACGTATAAAAATATATGTTTTGTTTTAGGATATATAACATCGATATGCAAGTCACGGTGGATATATAATACAGAAATAGGGCGATATTTCTGTAAAATGACGGATACTCATTATATTCCAAATCAAATGCTAGCAAAACATTACCCAAAAGATGCTGCGGTGATTTATGAAATATTTAATAATAGTAATAATTTATATTATTTTTAGGTAATGTTAGATAGTAAATATATGCGAACATATAATCAAAACATTTTCTTATGTCATATTATTTTTTGTTATAAAATAGTAATAGTAGTAGTCAGTCCCTACTGTAGTTTTTTTTATTATAAACTATTATAAATATTATAATTATTTTCCATTACTGAAATTTTTCCATACTGAAATTATAATTATGTATATTATGTATATTATGTATCTATGTATATTATCTAAATATATGTAATCTCTGTATATTATCTAAATTTATTGTTTTATTATAAATTAGAGTTAAAATTAAAGTTATTTTCATGAGTTACATTAGAGAAAATAGAATATAAATGATGTTTTAATATTGAATGTATGATGAATTTAATCTGTATATTTGTCATAAATAAATGTCAATCAATGGCCAATCTATTGAAGATGCGTACAACAGAAGTGAATAGTTATTTACATAATCACATTCATTATCATAAATTTTAAATTTTACTTTAAATTTTATTTTGAAATTATTTTTTATATTTTGGAAATGATGCAGGATAAGATTTTACAAATGGAAAGAAGAGATAAAATTGTATATTTGATGAAAAACATATTTAGCTATGATTCTTGTATAATATTATATATTTCAAGAACATTGAAATCGATTAATTTGCTTTTGATATTTAGCTTTAGAAAACTTGCGAATGTTCAGATAATGTTTAACAATTTCTACCGATTATAAAATTTGTTAAAAATACATTTGTAATGTGTATTTTATCATTACGGATAATTCTGTGATTGTTTTAGAATTTAATAATTAATTCCTTCGGATGATTTTATAATTTAGAATTTAATAATTAATAATTTATTTAGAATTCTTTCCATCTTATAAATATGTATATAAACTATAATATAAAGTATTTTTTATGCATTATTATTAAAATTATTTTAAAAATAGCTATAATGTATAGGTAATAAATATATAATAATATTAATTATAATTATCTATAATTCAAATTATTACAAAAATCGATTTAAAATTTAGTTGAGAAGAAAGACATCAATTATTTTCGAACATATATTCCTATAATTGGAAAATATTAAAACAAGACCAAGTTAATACAAAAATTTACAATTGGAATGATTGCTAATCATAAACATGGCTGAAATGAAAATAATCATGTTGATGTTATGTTGATGGATAATAGAGTGATCTTTTTCGAACTGAACTTTCGATTTTTTTTTCCTCCTTGTATTTTGGATTTCAAACGTAATATGCGGAACTATTTACAACTATTTTACATTAATGAAAAGATTAATAGAAAATGACAGCATGCGTTATGTGTCACAAAATATAAGAATTGAGAATACGAGAATATTATGTATTAAATAAAATGCTAACGAGACATTATCAAAGAGATGCCGCAATTATTTTCGAGTTAATAACAACCATTTATAACATTTTAAAATGATTATTGTTTGATAATTTATACTATATTGAAATATTGATATCAAAAAGTAACATGCTCACAACAACCGGTTTTTCCAAGCAGACTTCCTGTGTGAATGCTGTTTATAATTATGTTATAGTTCGACATATAAATTTTTGATAGTTAAACTACAACTCTCGTTACATATATATATATATATATATATATATATATATATATATATATATAAGATAGAGTACAGAAAATTGCAGCAATATTGCGGCAACATTGCAATGCTATAGCAATGTGTTACAACAATATTAATAATATTGCTTCAATATTCTATGCTCTATGGGTAGATTCACTTCTAGTATTCTTTTCAAATACACGATTTTCGACAATTGCTTTCCTTTAACACCATCCCATATCTTCTAAAACAAATTACAATTCGGTCATAAAATAATGCATGTGCGCGCGAAACAGTTTTATTATTAATTTTAAATAAACAAAAGAGATTACCATTGTAGGGACAATTGTCTCCTACTCCGCTTGTGTTACACATTTCCACACATGTTAAATACAACTTTCTAATCCCTGCATGCATGCATCCGACATCCACTTTCTCCTCCGTTTACAACCCTTGCATGCTACGCGGCCATCCTTCGATCCCTTTCATCGCCAATTAACACATGGCAGACACACGGTTTTTCCTACACAACGATCACTCATCCCTCCGAGAATCTTTCCGATCATAAAAACTTTCTCCCAAGATCATGCATGCTGAATCTGGATTTTCCAAGGGGCATTCTGTATCCGGAACTTGTAGAGTAAACGTAGAGTCTGCAGCATCTATTCCGTGCCTAAGAATACACGCTTCGATCTCCACACCACACACACACGAGTCACTCGTTATCGAACGTTGTAATTGTTGTTTAAATAAATTTGAGTTAGTAAGAAGCGTCGGCTAATTTAATTGCCAGATTACCTACACCATATTGCATTTTATTTACAGGATTTTACTATATTACATTTCGCGGAATCATTGAAGACACAACAGTACATGCGCGACTGAACTCGTAAATCATGATAAATGTTTGAATTTATTTCTCTAAAAAATATGATAAAAAGGATGAGAGAGAGAGAGAGAGAGAGAGAGAGAGAAAGAGAGAGAGAGAGAAAGAGAAAACTGCAAAACGAAAAGCAGGGAAAGTGAAAAAGAAAGAGAACATGTTTAAGAAATGAAACAGTGGCCGTTAGACAAGAATCACTTTTCGTTAAAAAAGAAACAAAAAAAGCATAAATCACAAGAGAATAAAAGAATTTAAGCAGTATGCTTGCAGTAAACGACATTGGGGAAATTCAGGTAAGAACTCCATGAATTTTTGTTCCGCTTTCACTTTTAAAAACATCCAAGTAATCTAAATTAATTCAAAATAAACGTTGCTAAATATGAATATTATATTTTCATTTTTTTAATTATACAGAGTGTCCCAAAACCCATAATCAATCTTTCAAAGACAGATTCCTGGGATCATTTGGAGACGATTTTTCCTCAGCGAAAATGACGATGAAGGCCATCATTTTTTGCATGTTCCCGATTTTTGTCATCATATAAATGCAATTAAGCCTTAAATTAAAACTCAACTAAAGTAAACTCTATTTAAAATTAATCGAAGAATATGGTTTTATAGTTAATATTTTATTTTAGTTAATATTTAATATTTTATAGTTAATATTTTATTTTAGTTAATATTTTATTTCTGCAAAACTTAGTTTACGAAATACCCCTTATTTTCAATCACATACAATTCGTAAATTATTAGTGCCTCAACATTTTCGTTGAGGAAAAATCGTCTTTAGATGATCCCAGGAATCTGTCTTTGAAAGATTGATTATGAGTTTTGAGATACCCTGTATATATATTTAATAACATTCATTTTGCACATTGCGATTCATAGATCACTTTAAAAACTGTCGCCTCTGACTTACAGAGTTCGGGAGGAGATCGCGAGATGATTAAGTATAGAACATAAATAATTGTGCATAATTGAACATAAATGATTCAGCATCATATATCTGATAAAAGATACTCCCGATATCACAGATGATATATGATAAAGTAATTCAATAGTTTTTTTGTATTTAACATGTAAAGCATTTGTAATTTATAATGATAACATTTTATTACAAAAATGTAAGTAGTTTATTGTTTGATAATTTATACTAAAAATATTGAAATATTGATATCAAGAATCAACATGCTCACAACAGCCGGTTTTTTTAAGCAGACTTCCTGTGTGAATGCTGATTATAATTATGTTATAGTTCGGCATATAAATTTTTAGTAGTTAAACTACAACTCTCTTTATATATATATATATATGTATATATATATATATATATATATATATATATATATATAAGAGAGTACAGAAAATTGCAGCAATATTGCGGCAACATTGCAATGTTATAGCAATGTGTTACAACAATATTAATAATATTGCTTCAATATTCTATGCCCTATGGGTAGATTCACTTCTAGTATTCTTTTCAAATACACGATTTTCGACAATTGCTTTTCTTTAACACCATCCCATATCTTCTAAAACAAATGAGAAGTCGGTCATAAAATAATGCATGTGCGCGCGAAACAGTTTTATTATTAATATTAAATAAACAAATGAGATTACTATATTACATTTCATTCACAAGATTTTACTATATTACATTTCGTGGAATCATTGAAGACACAACAGCGCACGCGCGACGGAACTCGTAAATGTTATGTAATGATAAATGTTTGAATTTATTTCTCTAAAAGATATGACAAGAAGGTTAGAGAGAGAAGGAGTGAGAGTGAGAGCGGGGTGGAGGGGAGGAAGAACAGCAAAACGAAAAGCGGAAAAAGTGAGAAAGAAAGAGAATATGTTTCAGAAACGAAACAGATAGTGTTAAACAAGATGAATTACTTTTTTTCCATTGAAAAAGAACTTAAAAAAGCACACAAAAGAATCACAAAAGAAAAAATAAACAAAGAAAAAATAAATAAAGGAAAAATAAAATAAAAATTAAAAAGCATAAATCACAAAAGAATGAAAGAATTTAAGCAGTATGCTTGCAGTAAATGACATTGGGGAAACTCAGGTAAGAACTCCATGAATTTTTGTTTCCGCTTTCACTTTTAAAAACATCGAAGGAATCTAAATTAATTCAAAATAAACGTTGCAAAATATGAATATTATATTTTTATTTTTTTAAATTATACAGGGCCTCCCAAAACACATAATCAAACTTTCATAGACAGATTCCTGGGATCATTTGGAGACGATTTTTCTTCAGCGAAAATGTCAATGAATGCCATCATTTTTTGCATGTTCGATTTTTGTCATCATATACCTTTGCAATTAAGCCTTAAATTAAAGCTCAACTAAAGTAAACTCTATTTAAAATTAATCGGAGAATATGGTTTTGTTAATATTTTATTTCTGCAAAGCTTAGTTTACGAAAAACCCCTTATTTTCAATCACTTATAATTTGAAAATTATTAGTGTCTCAACATTTTCGTTGAGGAAAAATCGTCTTCAGATGATCCCAGGAATCTGTCTTTGAAAGATTGATTATGAGTTTTGAGATACCCTGTATATATATTTAATAACATTCATTTTGCACATTGCGACTCATAGATCACTTTAAAAACTGTCGCCTCTGACTTACAGAGTTCGGGAGGAGATCGCGAGATGATTAAGTATAGAACATAAATAATTGTTCATAATTGAACATAAATGATTCAGCATCATATATCTGATAAAAGATACTCCCGATATCACAGATGATATATGATAAAGTAATTCAATAGTTTTTTTGTATTTAACATGTAAAGCATTTGTAATTTATAATGATAACATTTTATTACAAAAATGTAAGTAGTTTATTGTTTGATAATTTATACTAAAAATATTGAAATATTGATATCAAGAATCAACATGCTCACAACAGCCGGTTTTTTTAAGCAGACTTCCTGTGTGAATGCTGATTATAATTATGTTATAGTTCGGCATATAAATTTTTAGTAGTTAAACTACAACTCTCTTTATATATATATATATATGTATATATATATATATATATATATATATATATATATATATAAGAGAGTACAGAAAATTGCAGCAATATTGCGGCAACATTGCAATGTTATAGCAATGTGTTACAACAATATTAATAATATTGCTTCAATATTCTATGCCCTATGGGTAGATTCACTTCTAGTATTCTTTTCAAATACACGATTTTCGACAATTGCTTTTCTTTAACACCATCCCATATCTTCTAAAACAAATGAGAAGTCGGTCATAAAATAATGCATGTGCGCGCGAAACAGTTTTATTATTAATATTAAATAAACAAATGAGATTACTATATTACATTTCATTCACAAGATTTTACTATATTACATTTCGTGGAATCATTGAAGACACAACAGCGCACGCGCGACGGAACTCGTAAATGTTATGTAATGATAAATGTTTGAATTTATTTCTCTAAAAGATATGACAAGAAGGTTAGAGAGAGAAGGAGTGAGAGTGAGAGCGGGGTGGAGGGGAGGAAGAACAGCAAAACGAAAAGCGGAAAAAGTGAGAAAGAAAGAGAATATGTTTCAGAAACGAAACAGATAGTGTTAAACAAGATGAATTACTTTTTTTCCATTGAAAAAGAACTTAAAAAAGCACACAAAAGAATCACAAAAGAAAAAATAAACAAAGAAAAAATAAATAAAGGAAAAATAAAATAAAAATTAAAAAGCATAAATCACAAAAGAATGAAAGAATTTAAGCAGTATGCTTGCAGTAAATGACATTGGGGAAACTCAGGTAAGAACTCCATGAATTTTTGTTTCCGCTTTCACTTTTAAAAACATCGAAGGAATCTAAATTAATTCAAAATAAACGTTGCAAAATATGAATATTATATTTTTATTTTTTTAAATTATACAGGGCCTCCCAAAACACATAATCAAACTTTCATAGACAGATTCCTGGGATCATTTGGAGACGATTTTTCTTCAGCGAAAATGTCAATGAATGCCATCATTTTTTGCATGTTCGATTTTTGTCATCATATACCTTTGCAATTAAGCCTTAAATTAAAGCTCAACTAAAGTAAACTCTATTTAAAATTAATCGGAGAATATGGTTTTGTTAATATTTTATTTCTGCAAAGCTTAGTTTACGAAAAACCCCTTATTTTCAATCACTTATAATTTGAAAATTATTAGTGTCTCAACATTTTCGTTGAGGAAAAATCGTCTTCAGATGATCCCAGGAATCTGTCTTTGAAAGATTGATTATGAGTTTTGAGATACCCTGTATATATATTTAATAACATTCATTTTGCACATTGCGACTCATAGATCACTTTAAAAACTGTCGCCTCTGACTTACAGAGTTCGGGAGGAGATCGCGAGATGATTAAGTATAGAACATAAATAATTGTTCATAATTGAACATAAATGATTCAGCATCATATATGTGATAAAAGATACTCCCGATATCATAGATGATATATGATAAAGTAATTCAATAGTTTTTTGTATTTAACATGTAAAGTATTTGTAATTTATAATGATTAAATTTTATTTCAAAAAGTAAGTAGTTTATATATATATATATATATATATATATATATATGTATATATATAATTAAAGATATAAAAAAGCATTTTTACTCCAGGCTGTTGCCAATGTACGGATGGCAAGAGGAGTATGAGTTTCACCGAGCTCGGATCGGTTCTTATAATTATTCTCGATAACAATAACATAGTTCGGTGTCATCTTATGCACATCATTTTTTATTAACCAAGCATGGCTTATATTCTTTATAAATTTTTTTTATAAATAAAATAATTAAATCAATTTTGATAAAAATGTATGAGTTTTAAAAGAGATCTTTTTTAAGCTACTTAATAAATAGATAAATGAGTGAGATTAGGATATATATTTTTTGTGCAGAAATAAAAAAATATTAAAATATATTAACAGAAGAGAATCAAATAGGCTATATAAATCACATAGAGCTTATTATGAGCATTAATACCGTTATTTATGAAAATAGATAAAATATGAATCACAGACAAGAATTAAAGAATGCATAAAGAAAGTATCCGTTCTTTGTTTCCTTTATCGGAAAAAGTAAATAGTCAAAAATTGCCACTATTCATAAAAGCAGATAAGTCCGGTAAAACTCACTGCGCATGCTCGAAAGAGAGGGAAAAGAAATGTCATTAAATTCATTTTTCCCTTTCTTTTCTGGTCTTTCTCGTTAAACCTAAGATAGTCGTGCTTTGTTAGAACCATTCCATAGGACATCCCCGAAAGGTTTAGTTTGAGATTTGGCTTCGTACAGTGAACATCGTGCACTATTCGCGTTAAAGTGTATCGACAGATTCGTTAATAAAACAGAATTTTTTCAAAGTTTTAAAATTTTTTTAAATTTTAATAATAACAACAATGGCTATGCTAATACACATGCCTACAGAAATAGTTTTCAAAATTTTAGAATATAAAGATATCACCATTAAAGACATCGTAAACTTTAGCTCCACATCCAAGCAGTTCCGCCAATTAATTATTAATGACAAAAATCTATGGAGACAAAAGTTTATCCAGAGGTAAGTTTTTTATTTGTTATTTTATTTGTTATTTGAGTAGTTTATCACACATATGAGAAAAAATTTGACAAAAATCTGGCCAGAAACTAAAAATTATATCAAACCAAATAAATCGTTTCTTGAACTGTTTGAAACAAATACTTTGCATTTTGAATATTAATTTCCAAAAATGAAAATGTAATTCAAGAAATTTTAAAATTAATTTCTAATCAATATTTTCAAAAATTCGCATATTCGCAATGCTATCGCATTGTTTTAAGAATCGATTCTTTTGCGTCTCTAATAAAATCCTGTAAATTTTAAAAATTTTTAGCTAAAAACTATCAATGATGTAAAGTCTGTCTTTGTTTAAAAATTTTCTAAACATTTTCGAAAAAACTCTTCCAACGTTCTATAAAAAATATAGAATAATTTATTATATTATCAATAACTATTTCTTCCAAGATATAGGAATAACTATGACAGAGATGATTTTTCGAACAAGAATAAATCTAAAATATATAAATTTTTGTGGAATATTTTTATACGAAATTAATATATTTTAGCTAAATTAAAAGCAATAATATAAAATACTTCATGTTCTATTTCATCAGTTTTCATAGATGATCTGTACGTTAAATATATACAAAGAAATATATAATAAAATGAAAATATGTGTGTTACCGACAAATCATTCGGCCCGTATGTAAATTTCCTACAAAACTTTAATTTTATAGTTGATGATTTATCTTAGACCATAATTTTTGTTCAGGCCATTTGATATTTTAACTTTCTCATAGAAAAATATTAATTTTTTAAATATTATTTTATATGTTTTAACACATAATACATAAGTTGTACCATAAACACGACAGTGCGCAGCTTATATCACACAAAATAAATAGTGTTTTAAATCTTATCGTTTATGCCACACGAATTACTAATAATCGATGCGAAAAGTTTAAAATATTTGAGCGTACGCATAAATTTGTGGCAGATATATGTGCGAATGTATAAGAAATTCAAACTTTATATGTTATAATATAATATATAAACTGTTCGTCACATGCTGCCTTGTAAAAATAAACTGCGCATTTTGTAATTATTTAGTATAGTGTATATATTTTGTCACAAGAATGTTATCGATCATAAAATATCACTTTGTCAAATAATGAAACATTGTATAACACATGCTGAATTATGTATGTAGAGTAGGCGCCAAAGATGCCTTAACATATGAAATGGTCGCATTTGAGACTAATAATAACTTAATAATATCTAGTCATTATTAATCCCGAATGCGACCAATTTCATATGTTAAGGCATTATTGGCGCCTACTGTATTTGAAAAACGTGTCTCTCAAGAAGTTTTATATTAGATTTCATTTATCTTAAAGTCAATAGTCTGGCGTATCTTGCATCCATAGATATTTAGACATTATAAATCAAAATCCAGTTGGCATTCCAAATGAAGTTTACATATATTGTAATCTATAAAGATAATATTATTATTATATTATTATTGCTATAATTTGCTTAAAGATTATTCGCTCATATTTCCTATTTTTATTAATAATATTAAATGTATTCTTCAATTTGATTTAGATATTATGCGGCATTGTACAATTTTTGATATAATTTAAGAAAATTAGTTAAAATATTTCTGTTTAAATTTTAGATGGCCTTCTGTGAAAAAATGTTATAAGGAAGATGATAAAAATTTTTATGAAGCCGATATTACCGATGTGCAAACCGGTATGAAATGCGCAAAAGAATTGTGGGCCTATGTATCTCACATGTCAGAAAAGCATTATTACTATGTTAATAATCATAAATATGTAGATGAATTCTCTTCCTTATTCAGCCTACATAAAGATTACTCAAATGCGAATTGTATGCATTGTGCTATTTTGAAAGATGAATTTATTAGAAGCATTTATACACAATCTCCATGGTATGTGACTCGAGATATATATTAAAATATAATTAATATATATATATATTATATATATATATATATTAATTATATATATATATATATAAATATATATATATATATGTGTGTGTGTGTGTGTTTGTATTTATAAAATAAATTAATGTATTAATCATATACAATAAATTGTGAATATTTCAGGGAATGCGATTTAACACATAGATATTACAGTATGAAACTTTTTCGATGCTGGCTTAAAAAAAATTTTGAAAGAAATTGGAAAAAATTTATAAATAATCCTCATCAACAACAAATTTTAGAAAAAGTGCTCACTATAACATTACAATGGTGTTATCCAGAAAAATATATTTCTTTGTCCCATGTAAACAAACTGATTAAAGATATTATGCAAAATGTGTTAAAGCTTCTTAAAGCGAAAAGTCCCACTCATGAAATATTTTCGATATCATCTAAACAATTTTCCTTTTGGAAACATAATAATATTCATGAAAATTATTGGGGTGAATGTAGTGCAAGACAAATTAAATGCAGATTGAACGATATTATTTTAAATTTCGATCGCTATAACATAAATTATCCGTGGAAATTAGATCAAGTACGTATATGCGGACCCATACGCAGCATATTTTCTTATGTGATATTTTTTCTTATTACAAATTACCGGAAATACTATAATTATTTTTTATTAAATAAAATATATAAGTTTATTTTTAAGTTATTTTAAGTTATTGTTTTGTTACTGATTAGAGAAAATCATTTTCAGGAATTACATAATAAAAAAACTGTTATGGTGTATAATATATATCTGCGTGGCGAGAAGAATGGGTATACATATTGAATTAACAATGATGGACCATAGCAATATATTTTCTTCAGAAACTTGTTTGGCTTGGAAACCAAGGTAATATATGTACCTGATCTCGATTTTGAGATCACTTAATTTTCCTTTCATATACGCATATAATTATGTTTACATTCACACATGTACATAATGTAAGAAAAAGATGTATAATCTAATAGACTAAAGCATTAGAATAAATAATAATTTTTTTCGGTACTTTTACTTTTAAAAAATTGCTCTAAATAGATTAAAATAATTATCATTAAAAGATATAGTACTGATATCTATATATATCTGTATTTACATCTATTTATATATATGTTTTTCTTTATTTTCGATATAGAGGTCCAGGAGAATATACAGAATATTTTAATATTAAGTCGATGTACAATCAACATATTTATCCGCAGCTTTCTTTTATAATTATATATCGATCACATCAAGTCGTGCCCAATCGGATGAAGACATCTATACCTATAAAACAAGTGAGTTATTAATTACTTGTATTACGATTTTTTATTTTAATAGGGTTTTAATTAAAAATCTTTGCTTTTTATTCATAAATATAATTGTTATTTAATATAAAATTGTATATTTGATGGAAAATACTCAGCGATTCTCCCTCTATAGTACATTTCAAGGAAATTGAAATCAATTAGTAGCTTTTAATACATATGTATTTAGAAAAATTGTAAATGTTCACATAATGTGCAACAATTGCTATCGATTATAGAATTTGGCAAAGAATCTTAAATTTTATATATATGTAATTGGAATTTTGTCATTACAAATGATTTTATAATTTATTTAAAATTTAATAACTAATTTTTTTTTTTAGATAATCTATGAACTAGGAAAAGTTTTTAAAAATTATATGCCGACAGATATTTCTTTTACTCTTCTCTCAGAAATGGATATAAATACTGATATGGTAGGTACTTTTTTTATGTTATTATAAATCACTTTGAAGATAGTTTATTATATGTATACATAAAGTACATTAATATATAATCACATTTGTTATAATTATAAATTATTAATTATCTATAATCAAATCAAAACTACAAAATGTGATTTAAAATTTAATTAAAAAAAGAAACGTCAATTATATTCTAATTTTACAGTGTACATCTCTTCTTATTGAAAAGTGTTGCGAAAGAAGATCGGATAAAGTAAAATTCGCAATTGGAATGGTTGTTAGTTTTGAAGATAATTATGAAAGTAAAGCTGGTTACGTCGGTGTCATAATTGGATGGCATAACAAATATCAAACTGAATGGTTTTCTTTTCCTCCGTATCAATTAGAGTTCGAATGCGACATTGGGAATCACGTAGAACCGTATTATATCATTTTGATAGATAATGACATCATGTGTTACGTACCACAAAGTATGAATATCAAACGTTTCTTTCTGTTTATATATCATACAATATATATATATATATATATATATATATATATATATTTTTATTATGTATTATTTGTATAACGTATAAAAATATATGTTTTGTTTTAGGATTTATAACATCGATATGCCAGTCTCGGTGGATATATAATACAGAAATAGGGCGATATTTCTGTAAATGACGGATACTCATTATATACCAAACCAAATGCTAGCAAAACATTACCCAAAAGATGCTGCGGTGATTTATAAAATATTTTAATAATAGTTATAATTTATAATATTTTTAGGTAGTTTTAGATAGTAAATATATGCGATCATATAATCAAAATATTTTTTTATGTCATATTCTTTTTTGTTATAAAATAGTAATAGTAGTAGTCCAGTCCTACTGTAGTTTTTTTATTATAAACTATTATAATATTTATAATTATATTCCATTACTGAAATTTTTCCATACTGAAATTATAATTATGTATATTATGTATATTATGTATCTATGTATATTATCTAAATATATGTAATCTCTGTATATTATCTAAATTTATTGTTTTATTACAAATTAGAGTTAAAATTAAAGTTATTTTCATGAGTTACATTAGAGAAAATAGAATATAAAGGATGTTTTATATTGAATGTTATGATGAATTTAATCTGTATATTTATCATAAATAAATGTCAATCAATGGCCAATCCATTGAAGATGCGTACAACAGAAGTGAATAGTTATTTACACAATCACATTCATTATCATAAATTTTAAATTTTACTTTAAATTTTATTTTGAAATTATTTTTTATATTTTGGAAATGATGCAGGATAAGATTTACAAAAGGAAAAAAGAGATAAAATTGTATATTTGATGAAAAACATATTTAGCTATGATTCCTGTATAATATATTTCAAGAACATTGAAATCGATTAATTTGCTTTTGATATTTAGCTTTAGAAAAACTTGCGAATGTTCAGATAATGTGTAACAATTTCTACCAATTATAAAATTTGTTAAAAATACATTTGTATGGGTATTTTATCATTACGGATAATTCTGTGATTTTTTAGAATGCAATAATTAATTCCTTTGGATGATTTATAATTTAGAATTTAATAACTAATATTGATTTAGAATTTTTCCATCTTATAAATATGTATATAAACTATAATATAAAGTATTTTTCATGCATTATTATAAAATTATTTTAAAAAAATTATAATGTATAGATAATAAATATATAATAATATTAATTATATATTATCCTAAATTCATTATTACAAAAAATCGATCAAAATTTAGTTAAGAAGAAAGACATCAATTATTTTCGAACATATATTCTTCTAACTGGAAAATATTAAAACAAGATCAATACAAAAATATTAAAACAAGATCAATACAAAATTTACAATTAGAATGATTGCTAATCAAATAATGACTGAAATGAAAATAATCATGTTGATGTCATGTTGACGGGATAATAGAGTGATCTTTTTCGAATGAACTTTCGGTTTTCTTTTCCTCCTTGTATTTTGGATTTCAAACGTAATATGCGGACTATTTACAACTATTTTACATTAATGAAAGTTAATAGAAAATGACAGCATGCGTTATGTGTCCACAATATAAGAATTGAGAATACGAGAATATTATGTATTAAATAAAATGCATAACGAGACATTATCAAAGAGATGCCCGCAATTATTTTCGAGTTAATAACAACCATTTATCTTGTCAGCTTCTTCAATATATTTTAAGAGGAAATACTAGAAATTTTATATAAAACTTGATATTACCTTTTTATTGAATAATCTTGGTTGATTATCTTTTGATCTTCTTACCGATTTATTTACTTTTCCCGAATTAAAGAAACGATATTAAGAAAGCGGGATAATTTTTTTCTCTTATGCATTTTCTGTTAATATCATTGTCTGTGCAGTATGCATATTTTTACTCTATGTCCACAAAAAAACTGTATTTTTCGCTCTCTATAGTGGTAAACTCAAACTGTTAGCGCGTGTATGATTACCCAAGATTCATATTCTTGATCGTCTCGTGGTTTAAAACATAGCATAAATAAGATATAGATTAAACAAGACTGATAAGCCTGCATCATAATAAAAGACCTCTTTGGATCCTTCGTACCCTGGTACCTTTTGTACAGGCTTTATCCACTATTTGATAATAGCGGTATGACTTTGATCTAACCTATATGTTGTCAAGGGTCATCCTCACCTGCTTTCAGTACTTTATTACAAGTAACAATCTCCAAAGTGGGTTATTTAGGCCAATCGGTCCGTTTATTTAAAGAGTACAATCCCACACAAAGTGAGCAAACTTTTCACGCCAAGCGAAGAGGGTTACAGCCTCACACACTCACGTAGTTCAGTTCTGACGAACGAGAGTCTATTAATTTATTCTGGACGATCACACCATAGGGTTTTACAACCTTTTTCTCGTGGTGAAACAAAAAAAGAAAGGGTCAAGACTCAACTCACGCCCTACGCTGATGGTTAATCATAATTGGGAAGGACGATAACAGATGTGGATGCGGCCTCCATGTGCGACTTCGCTGTGAGGAAAGTGCAAATCAATGTGGGAAGGCCTGTAACCAATTATAAGACACCCTCTGTTTGCCTCGCCACTAGCTCAGAGCGGGGTCATTGGGTGTTTAAAAATGTATGTGTTTGCGGTATCTATAAAAATTTATTTTATTTTGTTTAAAAATCCAGATTTATTATGTATAAGGTCCGAAATATATGTGAAATCATTAAACCCTTTTTTCAGTCCTATAACTTTTTAAGATAAAACAACGATTGACGGTGATTAAAAACCAACGTGAAGAATGTACTCAAGAGAGGATGATCTTTGACAACATAGAGTCAAAGCTCAAAGGGGTTTTTTTTCTAGGCCGTGGTTGTACAACAGAGTTTTCTTTTATGAAAGTTCACGATTCATGAAGTTCTACCTGAGTTTCCTCGAACGATGTCGTTCTCTCCAAAACGTAGCCTGCTAAAACTCACTTTCATTCTACGTTTATGATTAATGTTTTTTATTGTTTTTCTTTCTTTCAACGAAAACCCATACACCAGTAAAAAGTAATCTTGTCTAACGGCCACGCTCGTTGTTCTCATTGTCCTGCTAAAACATGGTCCTCTTCGTTTCACTTTCACTCTTCACCCTGCTTTCGTGCTACAATCTTCGTTTTTGCTTGCCCAGTTTTCTTCTCTTCACTAACTCTCTCTCTCTCTCTCCTCTCTCTCTCCTCTTTCCTTTCTCTCTTATC